TTTCGGAGGAGTCTGAAGAAGATGGGAAAAAATGCTTTGACAAATGGTTCCAACGCATGCAAAAGTGTATTAATCATAAAGGAGAATACTTCGAGAAACAATAAAGCAATTAATAACAAGTTACTATTTTTCCATTATTAGAATCAAAGCATAAATAGTGAACCTTGTATCCGATTATAAATTGCCTTCACATATTAACCTATTTAGACAGAACGTAAGTATCTTATATTCACAGTTAAATAATAACATACTGCCATAATAGCGTATGTTAACAGACTTCTTTATGTTTCAGCTGAATTTGTGTAAATCAAATTTTGTTACACCTTTTTTATTTTAAATATGTGGCCTATTTCAAAGATAGCCAAACTTAATTGTGAATCGCTGCAGTCGAGTTACACTTTCGCATACCATTGCTATTAAAAAATTTGCAACAAAAGAAGCTACGCTCTATTGCACGAGAGACGAATAGACGAATTTATCCCATAATTTATTATTGTTGTTAATTTTTTTATTTTTAATTATTTCATATTTGTCAGTTTGGGTTTCGAAAAAAGCATTCCACTGTAGAACAAATACACAGAATATGCGACAAAATCGAAAGAGCACTTGAAGAACAAAAAATTTGCACTGCAGTTTTCCTAGACGTATCGAAAGCCTTTGATAAAGTTTGGCACAAAGGACTTGTGCATAAGATTGAACAGTGGTTTTCGAGACAAATATCCGAAATTATGTGGTCCTACTTATCTTGCCGATTCTTCAGAGTAAAATATAAAGGTGCGTACTCAACACTTGAACCAATTGAAGCCGGAGTACCGCATGGAAGTATACTTGGCCCAATTCTGTACCTAATTTACACAGCCGACCTGCAAGTCTCACCAGAAAGTGTTATTGCCACGTTTGCAGATGATACAGCGATCCTTACCACTGGAAACACAATAAACGAATCAACAGAAGCAACGCAGCGTTCCATTGATCAAATTATTAGTTGGACTAAAAAATGGAAAATTGAGCTCAACCAAACGAAATCCGTCCATGTTAACTTCACAAACAAAAAAATTGAATATTTGCCGATAAATATGTGCAGTGCTCAAATACCATACTCAAACACAGCTAAATACCTTGGCATGAACTTAGATGCTAAGTTGAAATGGAAAGAACATATAAAGAAAAAACGAGTTGAATTAGAATCCAAATACAAAAATTTATATTGGCTTCTTGGGAACAAATCACCTGTCTCTCTAAACAATAAATTAATGATATACAAGCAAGTCTTAGCTCCGGTGTGGACGTATGGAATCCAGTTATGGGGATGTGCACCAAAATCCACTATTCAAATCATTCAAAACTTTCAAAACAAAGTTTTAAGAAACTTAGTTCAAAAGCGGGCTTTCCGTGGTTATGAATTTACGACCTCCATTTACGGACTTGAAGCATCGAATCTGTGGCCCTTGCAGTAATCCAGGACAGAGTTACGCGGTAAAAGCTGCACCACGGATTACAGAACACAATCTCACAAACGAGAGCGAGTCAACCCATTCTGTCTAATATCATTCTGGCCCTGCTAGAAGACATTTAAACGAACCAAGCCTTCAGATTCTTACTCCGAATTAGTAGTCATAAATAATTTAGATTTACTACTTATTAACACCTTAAGGTCTTGAACAACTTCACAATTCTAATAATATACTGAAATGTAACCAAAAATACTGCTGATAGTTCTTGTATATGAACTAGTTGTGTTAGTCCAAATGAAAACATGTATTATATATTGTACATAATTGTGTTTCAAAAAAAAAAAAAAAAAAAAAAAAAAAAAAATTTCATATTTGAACTATTTAATTATCCTCAAATTATAATTTCACTAAATTTTAAACTTTTAGAACGATATAAAATCGCATAACCTCTTTAAAACTTATTTAAAAAATATACAATTATATTTTAAAGAAATAGTATACATATATTATATATATACGTGTATATATTCAAATTTAATTTTATAAAAGTTTAAAGTTATAATTTTTAATTAACTTATTTTAAAAATCTATGGAAAACGCATATTGTAATTTCCAACAGGGCGTCTTATGCGCCTGCCGCGTGTATTTCGTTGGTTTGGATATCCACGCATTGGGTTAGACGTTAGTTCATGACTCCGTTGGTTTGAAGAAATATTTCGGGAATGACCAGGAGAATCTTTAAGGAAATAAATGGGATAAATTATCTAATACACAAGTTTAAAGTAAAATATATATTTGTAATACCTTGCCAAGTAATTGGAATAGGCCTGCCTCGTTGGTATCCTCTCTGTGGTCTCCTGGAAGATCCTTTAGTACTTTTAGATCTAGTATTTATAGAAGGCGAAGAAGAAGCCTCTGCTTCGCGACCCTCCTCCTAGTAATGATTTGCATTTTTACAAAAACTATTAATAATTATTTTGACAAAAGTTATTAACCTCAATATCTTCAACAGCTTGCTTTTCCCCTTCAGAAGTAACACCATCTGCTCCTTCATTTTCCTCAGATACTATTTCACTCAAATTTTGTTGATTGTCTTGAAGCTCAGACTGCGAAGCACCTCCTATATTATGATCTAAACATGTATCATCAACGTGTTCAGATGTTGCAGAAGTACCTGCAACATCTTCAGCATAAACGTCATCCACTTCCTCTTCTTCATCGTCATGGTCAGTAATCAATTTCTTACTTTCTTCTTCTTTTTGCGCAAATTCTTCAGATATGTATTCTTCTTCAACTGCTATTCCTTCATTCACTGTTTCAGTCTCATTCATTTTTCCGTCCTTTTCATCGGAATGTGCAG